CTAAAGTGTATTCATGAATATAGATCCTTCCCTTTTATGTTTATTGTTTCTTTACTTCTCCATCAGCTTTTTCATTCTCCAGTTTTCAGCCTTTTCTGGTCTCTCCCTCTCCTCCTCATCCTCCAATCTGCCCTTTCCTCTCTCAAGCTCTCCTTCTCCTCTGTTTTCTACTCACCATTTTAATTCTGTATTCTCTCTCTCTGATTTTCATCCTAATAGCTCCATCTTTTTGTCTTCTCTCTTTACCCCTTTCTCTCTGTCTCCTCTCCAGAAAGAGCTCTCTGAATGCTGAGGGTGTGTTAAGATAGATTTTATCCGTGCTTTGATAAAAGCAAGCACTTGACGCAGAAATATTTTACCGAGAAACCCTCAGCTCTCCGTTAATCTTCAGGCTCGGCGGTGGCTCGCACGCTTGTGTCCCATGTTGTTATTCCACAGGCGTATATGTAAGGTTGTATTTCACTCCAGGATAAGATTGATTTTTCCAAGATAAGTTATTAGTTCCTGAAGTGGGCCATTATTATGGATGAGGAAGCTAAGTGGGTTGAGCTTGGTGTTGTACAAAATACGTAACAACCAAGGCGGAAATAGCACTGCCTCATGAAACTGTGCAGTGGCTTGGAGGTCACGGCCTCTGCAGAGCCTGCTTGACTCCTCAGGCCGGGTCAGGTGCTCTGCCTGGGTGCTGTTGTGCTATGCATTCTTCTCCTTCATAGCCTCTATCTCCTGCCTATGTGCTCAGCTATCTCTGCCAACAAAGCATAATCTCATACACTGTCTAGTATGCAGTGGGCAATCCATGCATGGAGTCCTCAGAACACCAGGAGATCCCCGTGAGAGCCTTCCTCCTACGCAGCCTCTTGTCTGCTCACCTCTAGAGTGGTGGAGTTTCCATGGGTAGCTGCATTAAGAACTCCCATTCATTTGAGAAACCTGAGAGCATTTCACTTCAAATAGATATCCCCACTGATTATTCAACATTTTACTTCCAGGCCTGTGTACTAGGAAATATAGGCATTAAGGACACCAAAATAGAGAAAGACCTAGCAAGAGGTCCTTCTCCAATCTTTAATTTAACTTTCCCAATCCCAATGCCACATTTTGTCTTTGTAGTTGTCTGAAATGACGAGTCTCCTTGGCTTTGCCCTTCTGGCCCCATTGGACGTGAGCTGTGATCTCTGCCGGTGTGGTTCATGGGCCTGGACGGAGGACTCACTTCTGCTGGAATTTTCCGATGTATATTTTCACCATTTTAATTGCAAACATATCTTCCTGATCAGGACTTGTGTAGAATATGCTATCAGATTTTCTGGAGATTAACATCCTCACATGATTTTTGTTTGCAAATAGGTCTGCAGCCTGTTTTTTTTTTTCTTCCCAGAATTATTTTCAGCATTATGAACAAGTTTCAAAAATCACTTGGTTTTAGTGCTGCATTTAGTACACAAAAATGTCATTGAGCCCCACTATGGTTATGGGAGCCACCCTTATCCACAAAGTCACATTGCTTACAAACTCGCCCAATTTGAGGAATTTCAAAAACTTGCCCCATAAGAGTTATTTTCTGAGGATGACAGGTGAGTTTATTATTATCTTGCGTGTAATGATGGTTCATGGATGTCTACATATGCCAAAACCTATCACGTTGCACATTTTAAATATAGGTGGTTTATTGTGTGTCAGTTATACCTCAATAAAGCTGTTTAATAAAACCTCACTGGATCCAAAAATTCTCTCCCTTTCCCCTACCTGAAATTTAATTGTTTTGTCTCGCCGTCTTTGGCTTCATCAATCACAGTCATTTGGTTCTATCAGTTTTGATGAAGCAAACACGGCTGGGAGAATAAAAATACACCCGACAGATTCTCTCACTCTTGTGCCAATTAAATGAGTTTGCTTACTTTTTTAACCACTGGGATTCAGAGCTGTAAGTAGACAGAACTGGAATTCAGATGAGGAGGGAAAAGAGAGAGAAGTAATTTTGGAACCTAGGAAAGTTTGGAGAATGAGGGGACGGGGTAAAGCCACTGGGTAACCAACCAGGTTCTGGAGAGGAGGACCCAGAGATAAAAGCGTTAAGTGAATTTGTGTCACAGGGCAATGTTGTAACTGATCAAAGAACGGTCCTGTCCTTCTTGTGTTTGTTAGGGTGAATGGTGGATCTGCATCTTGAAGTCAGGCACACACGAACGTGACTACGGGCCCCATTACTGATTAGATGTCTGACCTTTGGCAAATTTCTCAACTGGCCTTAACTTCAATTTCCTTGTGTGTAAAAGGGTATAAGAATCATTATCTCACACAGGTGTTGTGAGGTCCAGACAGGATAATATAAATGAAGAGATTGCCTTGTACAACACGGCTTATGTTTCTCCCCATTCTCTTTTAACTTTTTCTTAAGACATATTTTACATATATATATATTTAAAGCTTCATCAAATTTATTAAACAATGTGTATAAATGCGTTTTTTTTCTAATTCTGTAAGTAATCCATTCTAAGCATTTTGAAAAATACAGAATACAAATCCATCAATTGAGGGGGCGGGAATCTCCTTCCATGTGAGTTCTTGTGAGAAAACAAACACGCTAGCATGTAAGTGCTCACTGTAACCTGGATAGACCCCTGTTACAGGCAAGGGGCCGTGGAGTGATAGGAGATGGGAAACTGCAGGCATGCGTTTGGCTCACTACCTTGTTACCTTTGGTCAGCTCTGATTTCCTTTCTACTTGTTTTTAGAGATACTGTTGTCTTATTTTAAACACTAGGTAAAATAAAAATTTGAAATACTTTTAGATAGTAACGTTGAAGAATGCTTGCTCAGTGTTGAGAGCGGAGGGTGGATGTACCACATGATCCAAAGCAGCTTTTGCTGTTCTACCGTTTCCTTTTTAATAAGGCCAAACCCAGAGCACCCAATCATACGCTTGACTTGCTGATTTTTTCCCGACCTCCAAGCACAACAGAATTAGCCTGCAAGCCCCAGAGCCTTTGCATTATTGCTCACTCCTCTCCTCTTCCCTCCAGCTCCAGCTCTGTCGCCCAGCTCTGCCTGGTCTCTCTACCTCACACGTCTGCTCCAGCATCTCTGCTCCCCCTCCAGTTGTCACTCTGCTCTGCACACACACAATATTTTCTTTCCTTGCCAACCACTCCACCATCAGTGTGCCAAGCAACCACTCCTTTAAATTCCTCAAATTATAGTCACGCTGTCAAGAGCTGGGAGAGACTCCAGGGTCTTCTACCTCTAGTGTTGCATTAGGGACTAGTTCAAGTAGACACAGCTAGAGTGCCCTGACTCTGATATCCTTTCTCCCAGCTGCGTGTGGCCTGGAATGCACTGGGAGGATGGGCCAAAGTGGAGCAAGAGATCACTTGCTAAGTGCAGCTGGCCAGGATCCCCTGGCATCACTGACTTTTAAAGCCAGCGGAAGTTCAGGAGCCCCTTAAGTTTGGCATCTTGTGTGTCACAAGGAAAAACTCTTCTCTCTAAAGAGTGCATCTGCCTGTGCTTCTCTTAAACCTAAACACCTCCTGTGTACTCCCATAACTGAGGGTCTGTTTCAATCCCTACCCCGTAGCCGTCAGTGTCCTCACAGCCCAGCCAGAGTCCACCGTGCCCCAACTCCCAGACATGCACACGGGACACCGCAGCCACAGACGCGCTCCCTTGTCTGTGATGTAGGTCTTTGCAGATGCTGTGCCCTCTGACTAGAATGCTCTCCACACTTTCCCACTTGGAAAATGTCTGGTCAAACCCTTCTTGGTGATGACTCGCCTATGTCTTGGGCACCTTGCATGTTACCATGAGCCCCTTAAGACCCTAACAATGGTAATAACAATGAAAAAGACAACAGTGGCAACTGACATTTATTGATTATGCCAATAAAGATTCATTATTTTATTTAATCTTCGGAAACAACTTTATTATAAAGCTACTTTTAGGGGTAAGGAAACTGAGCTTTCTAGAGGTTTAGTCATTTACCCAAGGTCACAGCTAAAAAATGGTGGCCTGGGGCTCAAACTTAAGCTTGTCTCATTCCAGAGCCCAAATGTCACTGTGCCTCTCACTACTTATGCTGCCTTGGCAACTGTCTGTGAGCAAGGCTTGCTTCTCAAGGACAGGAGCCCTCGGCATATCCCTAGTGCCTAGAACAGTGCCTGGTATATGCTAAGTGTTCAGTGAGTGAGTGTTGACTAACTGAATCAACAAATAAATTTCAACAGAGCCCTCCCTTCCTCTCCCCCAGTAGTCCTTGAACCAAACCCAGGGACTTGGGTGGAAAGAAGTTCCTCCGTGCCCAGGAGCAGCAGCAGCAGATGGTGCTGCGGGGATATGCTCTCTCTACTCTTGCACCGAGCTGCTCTCTCTCCATCCCCTCTCCTCCTTCTCCGAAGCAGCCCCATGTACTAGGAAGATGGCCAAGTGAGGCCACTAGCCTTCCAGCAGGAAACACCTGGCTGGTCAAAGCCTTTTGCAGTGCTTTGTTTCCACAATTACCTTTTATTTCCCTCTCTCTCTTAGATTTCATGCAAAGCCAACTGGTATTTTTCTTTTAAAAACAGCTGAGAACAACAGATGGAAGGGTAGGGGGAGGTGGAGGCACAGTGAAAGGCAGGAAGGGGGCAAGCAGGGGCTGTGGATGAGGGGGACGTCCTGAAACATGTGAGGTCGGGAAAATGCCAGACAGGTCAGCAGAGGTAGGGAAGGAAAAAAGAGCTGAAAAAACGAGCAGCCACCATATGTGTGCATGCACATGCACACCGCACTTTCAACATACCATTAAAATAGAGAAAGAAATGTTCTGGTTTCCGTAGCAACAAGGCCTATTGGTGCTTCAGCCAGAGAAACTTATTGGAAAAAAAGGCATTTGCCTGTTAAGGAGTCTGATGAATCGGGAGATAATTATACAGCATTCCACCACCACTAAAGACACACAAATACACTCCAGAAATTATTTTAAAGAGCATAGATTGTCACAAATCCCACAAAGGCAGGGGGTGGGAGTGAGGCAGCAGGCGAGGAAAAAAGGCGACTGGAATGATTCTAGGTGAACACCCAGGGAGGGGGCCCATGCGAGGCAGAGACTGGAACCAGCTCACAGGTCAGTTGTCAGAGGCGAACATGAGGCAGAGCTTGACATGTTTGTATTTGATTCTAAGGGGCCAGAACATTGAGTCCTATCTTCTTTGTCCTTTTAGGAAGTGGGTGGGTGGATCTGTCATGTCTAAACAGTTAGATTCAGTATGAGAGAGTTCGCTGAGAGCAGTGGGATCCGCGCTGTTAGGGCCCTGCTTCTGCAGAGGAATGAGCTGTGTGAATGTCATAGGACATCTGCTCCCCCAGATGGGGTGGAACAGAAGAGGAGAATCTTCAACACTGAGTAAAGGATTGTAGAATCTTCCTTAGGGTGGAAGGAAAGGAGATACACAATTGTATTTCTCATAGCACAGGACACTGGGCTAGGCACATAGCAATTGCTAAATAAAATACCTAGTGAGTGAATGAAAGATCGAATGGATACATGGATGGATAGATGATTATGTGAGTGAATTGATGAATAAATGGATAAAAAAATTGTGAATAACTAGGTTCCTGACTTCTCTCCTCTTGCTCAGCCCTAGGAACTTAATTGCAAATCAGTTTTGTCCTCCAGAAGATGGTCACTGAGTAGTCAGAGGTTCCGTGGTGAAGCTTTTGGATGAGAGTCATGCCCTGCAATTAGCCCCAAGATCTGAGGCTAAAGACGGCCCAGCATCTTCAAGAGCCTATCACCTTTGAAGATTCAGAGGTGTTGCACATATTCTCCTTCCCCCTCGTAGATGATACACCTTGTGATAAGCCCTTCCAGTGTTCCACCCTGAATTAGAGGGAAGAGCTTGCCCACTTCATCACAGCACCAGGACCACTTTCTGTAGCTCTTGGGGCTCAGGTGAGCCCTCAACTTCTGTCTGAGGGAGTTTTCCTATCCTCTGATCTCCGAGAGTGCTCCGTGAGCCCCTCGGCTGGCCCTTTCTTCACACAGGCTGTCTAGAATCATGACTTCTTATTTAGTTTTTCCTGTGTGTATGTTGCACCTCTCCCACTACACTATGCTCCTTAGTGGGAGGAGCCACCTGGAGAAACTCTTCAGAGCTGGAGCCATTAGCGGGCCGCATATCGAAGCATTGCATATTTGCAATGCTGACACCAAGGAGAAGGGCATTGATCTGTAGCCTTGAAGAATTGGCTGAAGGCATCAGACTCCACCCTCAGCTAAGATCAGCTCTGTGCCAAGAAGCCCCTTGCACACTAAGCACACATACACCACACGCAACATTTTGTGGGTGCTGCTTGGTTGTCTTGCATGGCAGACATGGACTAGAGGGTTGCGTGAACTGATGACAAAGGAAGGGAAGGAGTCAGGGAAAGTCCTGGAGGACTCATCCCCTTGCTACTCATAGGCACTTGATCTATTATTGAACTGAGTCTGTCACAGTCCAGCCCAAAGGGGTCCTACCAGGGAAGGGAACGCAGAACCACAATAGACAGCTTCTTTGTCCTGGAAGTAGAGATGAGGCAGGATTCTCTTTATCACCACAGTCTTAGAAGTGCATTTTGCTTATATTTTGTTTTTTGAATAAGGAAAAGAAGGTTCAGAGAGGTTGAGCAAATTGCTCAAGGTTACGCAGCTAACGTATGGACATGGATTGAATTTACACTGTCCCTCTCCAATGTCCAGGCTCTCAACTCTGGTATTATATTGACTGTTTGGACTCAGGCTCACTGAAGGCACTGGAGGAAGCCAAAGTGTGTTTTATTTCCTTGAATGAATGCCTCTTTGAAAACACAGCCTGGTTTGGGAGTATGAAAGAGAAAAAACAGGTCAGAGTTCTTCTGCTACTTAAAATGAAGATGAGGGAAACGGTTCAGAGCAGAGAAAAACTTTTAAGTCTTATTTTGTGTAAGCATCATATTAAACAGATTCCATTCCAACTATAAACAGATTTTCACATTTCCACCTTCCCCCTCCCATTACCCTCCATCAGCCCCCACCATCCCCAACAGATTGTTCCCTTCCTTCCTGTTTATATTATAAGAAAGCAAAATTGGCTTCCCCTTCATTCTCCACCTCCCACCCTGCACCATCTGGGGGTGCAGAGCTCTTACCCCATTTTTTTTTAATACTCCCTCGACTTCCCGTCCAGCGGCCCATTCGCTTTTGAAGCTCTGCAGCGAATGCCTCCAGCGGCCGCCAGGGGTCGCAGTCGAGCAACTGACACCGCCTCTGCGCAGCGAAGCAGGGGCCGCTGGCCGGGAATCGCAAGCCGGTCTCCTGTACATATCATCGCGCAGCGTTAATCAGGCCGCAGCCTCTGCAGTGCTTTGCGAGGGGAGTCAGAGACTAGGGCTGGGAATGAGACCCGGCCTTTTCGGGCCACTAGAGCCGGGCCACCTCAACTCTCCCGCCCTAGGCTGAGAGCACACAGTGCTCAACGAAGTGCAGCGAGGCCAGCCGCTCGCCTGGCCCAGGGTCGAACCTTGCCTCCCAGGATTCCTAAACACACGGGACCTGCGAGTCTGTGGACAGCAGTGCCTGCCAGGCCTGAAGTCATCAGGAATGGCGGGAGGTGGCGTAGAGGGACAGCTCTTGATGTAGATGGGGAGGACACCTCCTCTCCCGCTCCTGCCCTCTTACTGCCCCCAGCCCCTAGAAGCCAAGTGGCAGCTCTGTCCCTGCACACCCGTGGGCACTCCCCAGACCCCTGCCAGTTCTCAGGCCACCCTCAGACAGATTTGGCTAAACCTCCCATGGTCTTCTCATGTGCCTGGAAAGCCAGGCCTCTGCCAGAAGCTTATCAGATGGGAGGCAGAGCAGGGGAGGGCCAGCACGCGCTTCCTCTAGCATGAATTTTTCAGCATTACATTTTCATCTCTCTGCCCTATTTCTCTCAATTCTCATCTCTGAAAAGAGCAGCGCAGTTCCCTCCCACTGCTCTTTTTAGAGATGGATCTACTTCTTCAGATTTGATGCAATTACTGGGCAACAAAGATGGAGGCACTGGGGGAAGAAAGGAGGAGCGGGAACAGAGAGGAGAGGAAGGGGCCTGTCAGCCCAGATGCCTGCAGGTGCGCCCAAGAGAAGCTGTGGCTCTGAGATGCTTGCCACTCTTGGGCAACACTGTTGAGCTCTTTTACTCAAACTGTTGAAGTGAAACACCAGGGGCCCATGATGCACCTCCATTTTTTCTTCCTCTTTCTCCATTTGCCTCTCCCTTTCATCCCTCCTTCCCTCCTTTCCTTTCTTCCTTCCTTAGAGACAGACACAGGCACACATATAGACATGCCTATGCATGTGCTTATAATACAAGTCATACTTGGATCTTTTGTAACAAGTTCTAAAGGCATAAGGCACCATGGGGTGGGGGAGAGATCTGATCAGTTTCTTGAAGTAAGTGGGATTTGAGTTGGATCTTGAAGAATGGGTAGGACTTCTGCAAGAGGGAGGAAGACAGGCCACTGAGAGAGAAAAGCTTGAACAAAGACATAAAAGTGACAGATGCCACAGCAGTTGGAGAGAGCCATGAGTAGGCTGCAGTGGCTCCATAGAAGGTAGAGGGGAAGAGGATGCTTTGAGCATAAGCCTGCAGAAGTTGGACCAGAAAATGGAGAACCCTAGAGCCCAAATGAGGAGTTAGTGCATTGGTCCGTAGACTGTGAAGCCCATCAAAGTTTTCATGGCACAACAAATCTATGGTTGTATTAGTTCATTCTCACACTGCTATAAAGACATACCTGGGACTGGAAAATTCATAATGAAAAGAGGTTTAATTGGCTCACTGTTCTGCTGGCTGTACAGGCTTCTGCTTCTGGGAAGACCTCAGGAAGCTTACAGTCATGGCAGACGGCAAAGGGGAAGCAGGCATATCTTCATATGGCTGGCAGGAAATAAAAAGCAGGGTGGGGAGCTGGGGGAGTGGTGCTATACACCATTAAACAAGCAGATCTTGGGAGAAGTCTATCACAAGGACCACAAGAGGGAAGTCTGCCTCCGTGATCCAATCACCTCCCACAAGGCCCCTCCTCCAACACTGAGGATTAATTACAATGAGATTTGGGTGGGAACACAGATTCAAATCATATCAGTGGTTTAGGGATATTTCTCCAAAGGATGGGTAGATAAGGGATTGAGGTGCTGGGGGTTGGCAGCTGGGCATGGAAGGTTTCGGGGGCTGTTGTGGTAGTACAGATGGAGACAGTCAGGGCCTGACCTGAGGCTGCCGCACTGGAGCAGAGAGTGTGAGACACCATGAGGAGAGGCTTCACACTTGCTCCTCAACACCCTCTTCCCACCTCTGCCCCGTCTATCACTCCCCATCACAGCTGATGATCTCCTATCACTCTTCACTGAAAAATGGGAATGATTGGAGGAGAACTCTCTTTTCTTCCATCCACCTGGTCTACACATGAACCTGTGTGTACCCATTTTCTCTTTTCCTCCTCTTAGAATGGAAAATAATTCCCTTTCTTCCTGTTTATATTATAAGAAAGCAAAACTGGCTTTCCTCTACTCTGCCTTTCTCAAGGACTTTTCTTCTCATTACTCCTTTTCTCTCCTGCATCATCAGTCCCTCCCTCTTTAATGTTCATTCTTACCACCACAGAAACATGCTCTATCATTCTGCAGCTTCACAAAAGTCTCCAATACTACATCCCTCTCTACCTAGAGCCTCATCTGTAATAAAACTTTTCCAAAGTCTACACATAGTGCTTCTATCTCTTCACCTACAAACTGCTCTTCAGTTTGCTCCGATCTGGCTCATTACATTACTTTACCAAAATTACCCTTCAATCTCCATCATCCTAAATCCAGCAGGTAGTTTTCTGGCCTTATATTGGTTCTTTCAATCATATTTAGCGTACTTGACCCCACTGTCCTCTGTGAAACACTCTTTTTCTTAGTTTCATGACATCATAACTGCCTGTATTTTTTCTGTATCAGTGACCTCTGCTTCTCATACAGCTCTAGTGGCTTCTGCTTTTGGAGAAGAGGTACAAATACTGAAGTGCCCCAGGACCTTGTCACGGGCTCCCTTTTCTTCCTTTCTCTTCCTGTCTCATCTA